AAAAAAAAAAAGGGGGGGGGGGGGGGGGGGGGGGGGAACACAGAGAAAAAAAAGCGCATGCACGATTGTGACATCCACGCCCTGTAACCTGGTTTTGGATTTTGGTTATTGACAGTTTTGAGCCCAGATCGTGTCAGGGGTATCAAGAGGGAAAAAAGGAATAGAGCAAAATGTTCAGTGAGTTTTCGATACAACTAATAAGAACAAAAAATCCAAGAAAATAATAAGTTGAGGGAGATTTTTAAGTTAAGAGTTTACCACATTACAATGTCCTCAAATGAGCTTGATAACAGGGACACCTCTGTGCCATCATTCAAGATAACCCAAGTTCCTACCACTAAGAAATGGAAAAGCATAACATTAGTCAAATGAGCGCAGAAGCAGACAGCCTTCCACCGAGTTTGGAGTGCTTGGAGGTTTGCTAAAAATAAGGTCTAAACGCTGAAATGCAGACAGAAATAATAGCATGCAGTCACAAAACAAAATGCAGATTTAGTTTAAAGTTTGCCCTTGAATATTTAGAAATTTTAGTTAAAATATAGCCATCTAAGTGCTGATTATTGTCACTTTTCCCTCTCTAAGCAATGAACCAGGTAATAATGCAGTGGTAGACATGACCTTCGGCGAATGAGAGGTCACCGAGTCGCTTCTCATCGGTACACATGCACAGTTATGGAACGCCAACAACGATGATTAATCCTGGTCGCAGAAAACAAAGTCTTTAAAACAGTGGTAAGAGAAAGTGCTTTCAAAAAATATAACACTTAGTTCGTAAGGTTAGTAATTACGAAAAAGAGCGTGAATGCAAACACGTATTGAGTGTAACTGCCCCTTCAACAGCCATTAAAATAAACTTCAATGAAACCTAACAAAATCTAAGATCGTATTTCAAAACAGGTTTTAAAATAGAAAGGAGATCAATCACTACTCGACCTGAAAATCTCCATGCCATTTAGTTGGGTTATACCATAAACAATTCAAGGTTATATAGACGTAGCCACAGCGCAAACGTTTACCAAGACAAATGAACCAACAATTTGAAAAAAAACAACACAATTTGCACAAAAAGCGAACTAGGGAAGATAAGCGTTGGCAAACGACAATGCCTGCCAACTTAGAAGTCAAACTGACAGAGAAATGATTAACTCCACTGATTAAAACAAAATCGTAGAATAAGATATAAATAAGAAATTCTTGAAAAGATTACTAACAAACTACCTCTCACTAGCTCATGCAAATCGGTATGCTCCAGATGTATAACATCCGGCGATATGGAGCTAATTCACAAAATAACTGGCTGATGAAGTATATCTCCAAGTAAGTAGGCTCATTCTTGAAAAGCGAAAAGTAACAGAATTACTTCGCACGAAGGTTTCCAAGTTAAACTCCAAAGTAGGAGCGATATAAAACTATCCTGGATTAGGATGTATTGATTATCAAAATCTGACAATAACATTTAGAGAAGAGGATAACTTTATCAATACCCACTGCCTCCTAAAAAGGATAGTTTGAAAGTTAATAAAGCTTTCAGTGTGCCGCTGAAAAAATAGTATTGCCAACACTACCCTCACGTTATTAAGGAAACTAGCACTTGACCTCCACGTTTACCGCCAGCCAACAGACCACTAAAAAATTCGCGCTGATCCTGCGCATGAGGAATTAAAATAATCAATTATTACACACAATATACAGGGGGCACGCCCAACAAATGTTTGATCTCCATTTAGATAACTACGATCAGCTAGGCGTTGAAGGGCGAAAAAGCGCTACACAGTCCTACTACAGCAGGCATAGCCTTAGTACTTTTTACTCATTTAAACATCCAAATCACAGGAAAAAAGCTAGTTATGGGAGACTTTTAGAGAAAATATAAGTTAGCAACATAAAGAGCTGAGCAATAAATTAACCAATGAAATCAAAATATGCCGACTTGCTAACGTCAAAAAGACCAATCGCACATTGAAAGGACAACAGAGAAACGGATAAAGGAAAGTTGCTTACATAGAATAATCTCTTACCAAGAATTTGACTAGCACATTCAATGAGAAAGGCATTAAGGCTTACTTTTGATATATGAACTCCCAGACTCCTGTGACAAGCGGCACAATCCGTACACAGAGTAACACCAAGATTAGTAGATGCCCATTTGACTTCATGACTCGTGAGACAGTCAGCACAAAGCCGATTTCCTGCAGACGGAGGTTCATCCAAAAGTAGAACTCCACTCAGACTGCGCAGACTATCCCTCGAACCACTCAGCGAAGAACACATCATGGCGTTCGATAATTTCAATTCCCCATTGGTTGACGTTGAGTTTATAATTCCAGATCGAAGAACCGATACCCATTTTTCCAAGGCTTCAGCCGATTCCGCCTGGAGATAATGCACTTTTCCTGTTGGAGAAATCAACTCAAATACAAACCGTCGATCAGTAATACTAGCGATGGAGAAAGACATCATAAGCGGATCGCCACTGCCGAAGTTTGTCTGCACAGCTTTTGCAGTGCATAGACGTAAATCTGGTTCAAGGATTTTCCAGGTGAGGCTTGTAAAGGTGTCTGAGAAAGAGGAAAAGTAGACCAGCCGATTGTCAGTCACCATAAACCAACGCCGAACCCAAGTACGCCATCTTTTCTTTTTACTCCTCTTAAAGAGAAAACCTTCGTATCGAATAGCCTTTTCCGCGCTAGGTGATGGGTAAACTCCATTACTAACAGGTTTAGCTTGATTAGCAGCTTCAGCGTCGTACATGGTGATTGATTTTTTCAGTGCCTCTATACATTCCTCCGATTGATTTAAAGCAATAACCCCGTTAGAGAAATTTTGTTGAGTCTCAAAGGTGTTAATTGTTGCTCGAAGGACGGTAGAAAGGCGAATGGGGCAGATAACAGTTCGGAGTTGGGAAAGATAGACCTCTGAAAGGTGAGCATAGTTTGTACGAGCTTCAGTTAAACTGCCGTCTGCTTCTTCAGCGTCTGAAAGACGGCTGCGTGAGACACCAGCAGCTTTATTAACAGCTGCTTCAACATTCTCATTAGCTCTATAAAATTCTTTTCGAGTAAAGCTTAGTTCATCTAATTTAATCCCAGCTTGGGTAAGAAGATTGGTCGATTGAAGAATGCGAGAGGAAAAGTCATTGACAAGATTAGAGAAGGAGTAGATTGAACGAATAATGCGTTGAATTTCTGCTTCACGATCAATATCAATGGGTAGGGTAGGGCTTGGGGTAACGAGATTATTTAAGCACCGACATAAGCCGTTTAAGGCGTCGGCGAAGATTTCTCCTGCTTTGTTTGTTCGAACAAACATGCCAACGGCTTCTTTGTAACGGGATTGTAGGGTCTCCACTTCATATTCGCTGACTCGAAGGGCGAGACGAAATTTGGGGGAAAATCTTAGACTCTCATTGTAATTGAGAGAGCTCCACAAATCTTTTCCATTAACTGGAATTGTAATGCAATCCGAACTCATTTGGGTTATAGAATGGAAAGATTAGTTACCTGGATGATAAAAAAAAATGAGCAATGAGCACATATTGCTAAAAGGCGAGAGATTAATAAGTTACGCCCGTAAATCAAAATACTAATTTTGCAAAATGATTCAGTAACTTTGTGTTTCGATGAGACTACAAGCCGCTTAAAGCATTTAAAAATGTAATAGTTTTTTAAAAATAAGAAAAAAAGGTATAAAATATGTTAGGACACAATTGTCACTCAATATTTTAAGACAAAAACGGATACCAGGGAAAAATGTGTAAACTTAGAAAACAAACGCATTGATAACCTAATTCACATGGAGTTCGGAGATTTACAAATGATGCACGTTTCTATTGGTTTGCAACTCAACCAATTAGGGTCTAGATATTTCAAATGCAATTCGAAATAATTTCGAGGTCGGCGTAACGAAGGTCAAATTGACTCAAGTGTTCAAATATAACAAGATTTACTTTCATCCAAACAGTAATAGTCATATTCATTCTTTTCTAAATGTCTTTTTAATTTATCGTTGATGCATTATTTTTATTTAAGCAGGTTTAATGTAGAGATAGTACCTATGCTTAAAAATCATTATTTACAATTACAGTTATCAAACATTACAGAAATACCTAAAAATTATTATTATGTAGTAAAAATACTCTTGTGCTATGATTGATGTACTTTTGAGCATTTTGATGTGTTTTTTAAGTTTCATTATATCTGCCTGAATTTAACTATTTAAATATATGCTTTATATATGTATAAATATATAACTAATTTTTCTAATTTTTGAGAAAATAGAGACCGATTATTGTGAGCCGCTAAAAAATCTTCATTCCTGTCAACAAATGTTCATTTCCCAGAGACAGATTTGAGAAGTTTTGTAAAAGCTGCTGTTATTTGAATATAAAACACATGATATGCAATAATGTGCGAGATCAAATGATATTTCCTTATAATTGGCAATTTTCTTAGCACAATAAAATTTTGATAAATCATCTATAGAGGCTTTTTGCTCTAACTTGATTACCTGCTAACTATATTTTATCTTTCCAAAGTGTATTTTTCTCTTTAGAATTTCAAAAGATGCAAATAAATAACAATCTGATAAAATATCGTGTTGTGGAGATGTCATGTGCTTATTTATTGAAAATGATACAATTTAAAGATTTATTTACTAAGTGTGGCCATTTATAAAATTAAAATTAAATGCTAATATTCTATACAACTTGACCATTAATTGGCCACAATACACTTGTCATTTACTTTCACTCCAACTTAAACTTATTCATCGACTAAATTAACAAATTTGATGCGATTCCTTTCGTTCATTACATTTATAAGTTAAAAAACTGTCCACACTATCATTTCATAATTAAATAAATTTCTTTTTTTTCTGTTCCCCCTCTCACGACTATTGACTTTTGGTTTGCCCCAAGACCCCACCCCCTCCTATGGCTTTCCCGTCTCTTGGTAATTATGTTTCCATCTCGTTTGTCCAGGGCCTGTTTCTCTCCCTCCATGTAAATCATTTGAAGTTGAATTAAAGTAATACAGAATCTTTTTTTAGGAATAAAATGTTTGCATGCACGGTTGTAACATGTCCTCTGTTGAACTTAATAAGGATTTCTGTTAAAAGTGCTCCCTTCTGTTTTGGTAAGTATTGATCTACTCAAGTTAGGTTATTTCAGCTTGATCTATAGATTAGCCATACCATGAAAATTGCTCAATTTGAGCCTAAAGTCATTGATATAGAAGTCTTCTAATTTATATGATGACTGTTCTCGCTATCTTTACCAACTGAAATCTTAATATGCATGTTTTGATTTCCTCGTTCTCTGGAAATAATAGCTTTTTGCGGCTTTCGATGAATGAATTATTTATGAACAATAAAACATTTTTGAACTGAACTAAGAAAAGGCGTAGATTTTAAGCAATTTGCATATCAATAATTCCATCTTTACAAGCATTCCAAATCTAACAAAAGAGTTCACAAAAGTTCATTAGCACTAGGAAAAAAACATCCAAGTTAGATTATTTTAAATCATGATAGACATAATTATTTAAGCCGTTGCTACTCATTAAATAATAATGACAGGATTAGAGTAAAATAAAAAAATATTTCATTGTATACATATATCAAATAATTTGTTGGGACATTTCGTACATTGCTGGAGAGAGAGAGAGAGAGAGAGAGAGAGAGAGAGGGAGAGAGCAGAGAAAGAAGAGGAACAAGAGGCGTGAAAGTCTTACAAAACCAGCAACTGCGTGAATTAAATGATGTCGAACTCCAAATTCTGCATTTTTACCTAAGTAAACTGGTTAATCAACTGCAAAAGGGCCAAAATCATTGAAAATAATTCAATTATATCAGCCTAAACAAGTTTGGAATGATTTGTAATATGGCTTCGAAAATGGAAAAGTTTTAAATAAGCAAAAAAGGAATAGGTCAGTCTGCATGAAATAAGGTAGCCCACATAAGAAGAGGCAATATTTTTGGAAAACCTATTTCCCTTTTTAAGCTTCTTACATACATTTTCATTTATTGCTGTGTCGTAATAAAACGAAAAAATGCACTTCTGATCCCCAATTAAGCTCAACTTAATCAAATAACATAAGCCAACAATTTAGTTCCAGCTAAATTACTAGTATGCTGAAATGGTTTCATCTTTGATAATGCCTAAGCAATATGCCTGAGTTTTATTAAAATTAGTGCTGTGGTGTGAATGATGGGCTTTAGAATTAGATGCGCTTATCACCTGGCACTCAATAAAGGAAGTAAAATTTCTTTCAGCATAAGAATTATGAACTTGTGAACAAACAGTTCTGACCATTTTTGAATTTTCACTTTATCTTCAATGAAAATTCAAAAAATAACAAATTCTATCTATATACTACCGGTTTCGATTTAGTTGTAATTATACTTTAAAATTCACAGTTGTATTCACTATGATGTATTTGGTGCTTGCTGTTTGAAAATTCGATATATTTAGACCTTAGATTGGCAATGAGCTTGGAAGAAGAGGGAATCCCCAAACAATTTCAAATCCATAAGATGGAGTGAGAGATTAGTTAGGTTTAGAAGAGAAAGGGCTATCGCATCTGGCAGCCTGCTACTCTTAAAGCAAATAGTAACATTTACTAATTGCTTTCATATTTGTTAGAAACCCGATTGAGATATCTTTAAAAAATGGCGTGCTCCAATTATTCGAAATCACGTGACTTATGATAAATGGCGTTTGAACTTTCCAGTACACAAATATGAACACTATTTTTCGGTAAAAATGGGCTCAAATATTTGGCCGAATAATAATTAATGAAACTTTAACAATTTACTAACAGTTTGAAGTCTTGTATTAAGACATTTTAATCATTATATTCTTGAAACAAATAGGGGCTTTTGCTTTTCCCTCTTTCATGACAAAAATGACACTTAACACATTTCGTTTCTAGGACCACTCAATCGATCATCTGTTTTAGGAAATTTCATTTTGAATAACGGTATCAATGTAATTCATAAATTACTGTTATAAAGCATGTTCTCATTCTTAACACCAAAATGGAAAGTTGCTCTGTTATAAAATAATCCTTTTTTTTTCACAATGTTCAAGGCATGAATACTGTACGTTCATTTGGAAATATATCGAATGAATAGACAGTATCTTTCCTTAACCCATAAATTAACAAAATGTTAAATAATTTAAAAATTATTGGAAACTGATATATTTCTGGTGACTCTCCTCTCTTATTGTTAATTCTCAAAAGTGGAAGCATTTGGAAGATGAAAAATGTCAATTATTGTTAATTCCGATACTGAAATACTTTCAACCACATAGAGGAGAAAATACATATTTAAGTAAAATTTATTAAAAAAGGAGATAAAATGCACACTTCTTTCCTCTTTTACATATAACATCCACAGTTGCCCTTATTGACGTATTCTGGAAGACGTATTCTTCATTGATATTTTGGGGGATGAGTTTGTATTATGCTACTCTTGAAGCCTCCGCTTGATAGTCTTGATAGCGTTTGGCAATCATTTGCTCAACGCTTTGATGTATGTATGGGTAAGACTGAACATACGCGTTGTTACTGTGCTGTAAGGATTGGTAAAATTGATCCAATTGGCCAAGGAAATTGATATTTGGACAAATTATTGGCCGGGCGTGGCTGACCACAGTAAAGGCGCGCATTAGGGAAAGATTTGAATGAGCCATTATATACGCAATCACCAGACTGGCCGATCTCGAAACGCCCTCTTGGCAGTGCACTAAAACACGCCCTTTTGCCCGAACTGTTACATCTAAATTCATAGAACAAAAAAAAGAGTTGCATCGATTAAATCCGATTGTGTTTGTAAAGTACTGAGCTATAAATAAGGCATTAAAAGCAGCACCTGGATAATGGGGTGGAGAATACTTCACTCATTTCAGAAAAAAATGAGTAAAATTATTGGAATCATACACGTGGCATGGAGCTTTTCCAATTGATTTACATTCTACTATACTAGCGTTATACATATAGATTTAATTATCTCATAACATGGCCAATATGACGTTAATTATTAATTATTTGAATCAATTGCTTCACACTACTTGATCATTAGTAAATGCCACTTACCAATAAATTCAATGGTTGGTGTGAAATAAGGCGTCAAATCAGCTGTTCCACTGTCTTCCACTGCAACTCGAAGATACTTGATATCGCCATTACCTTCAACGTAGTTAGGTAAGTCACGTGTGGCATTTATTATATGGGTTATTCCCAATTCTTTTAGGCTCTCGAAATTTCTCGCATCTCTGGAGTTCCCTATTTATTAAAATGATATTTATTAGTCCAATTGTTTATCAAAATCTTGCAAGGTTTATTGAATAGTGTTACCGAGATAGAGAAAATCCAAAATCTGGGAAATGGATACATTTTCCCTACTAACTGATCGAAATACGACAGGTGGCCTTGGAGGAATTTTGAGTTTTGGTATTTTTAATCGATTTTTATTCAACAATAGTTTACTACTGTTATTGTTAGGTGTGGGATTTGCGGTTCCTGATAGCGTTAAGTGTTCAATATGTGTTTTATCTTAATGAAGAAAAAGAAGAATTCATAATGTGACTTCCAATAAAGTAAATTCACATTTGTTTTTACAAAATAATACCTCGCATTGGTTTTCTTGTCGTCTGTTTATTTGGATGGGTATTGTCTTTGATCTTTTCAATTGAACCATAAGTTGTATTGCGAGGTGCAAACATTTTTGATATTGCTAGTACTTCTGCTTGAAAAATCCGGTAATTAATGTGATATGTATGCTCTACACCTTATTGTTCCGAATAAAATGATTGAATCTCCGTAGACAGAAACAAAACAAAATTTCAGATCAATTAGAAATAGTATCTGCTTCAGATGGCTAGAACAGTATATTATATGAGATGATCAACCAATCAGCGCGCACCCAAATTTCGTCACAAACCTATATTTAGTATAAACTGAAGTATATTGTTATATTACAGGTTAGGCTTGATGAAATTAATGGAAAAATTAAACGTCACAGCTCCAATTATAAATATTACCTCATATAAAGATATATCCATTTATGGATAATGAAATACTAATTGTTAACTAAAATTTAATTTGTTTTAATCATCTCACTTTCTTTGCACCGATTACTTGACAAAGAAAATGGTGAATAAGTAAGTAAACAGTCAATTATAAGTGTACAATTAAAAACTACTTAGAAGAGGAATAAACCCGATTGATAAGATCATTTCTAGGGGAACCAGTCACCCAAAGCACAATGATACCTTGCCGTGCAATTAAATGTCTTCCTTTTATGAATAGATGGGCTCATTTTGACGGTACGGTGTAAGTGTTTAGAAGTGATTCGTTCATTTTAGCAAGGTGTCAAATGAGACACTGCACGTAATTAAATGAGAATTAATGTATTAAATGGAATATAAAAAGCAAATAAAGAAGACGGCATAATTAAAAAAATGATTAAGCTAGATGAGCTGTTTCTAGGTGACATTTTATAAAATCCCATAACAAATGGGGATAAATATTCTTCAAGTTATAAATTGACCCAACGACTTTGAACTTTAAAGGATATACTTATACCCCTAATATGATCGATATTTCCGATAGGTAGTCTTCACGACCTCCCCTAATTTTTATTACAAATAAGACGTGATCGCACATGTTTTACTCTTGTTTCATCGCCCAGTTGAAAAGCACAATAACTCCACAATGAATCCCTAGCTATTTCATCTACACTGACTAGACAAGTGGTGAGATTTTCATCACCATAAGTGAACGTTCAGTGATTATAGTTCATTTTATTCGGAGTAGCATGTAGTCAGCAGGATCTACGAATATAATGAACACCATCACACCCACGAATCTATGAACCGAATATTTAAGTTTCCATGTCATGACATTTTTTCGGGGAATGCGAACAACCCCCAGTCTCCAGAACATAAAGAAGGTAAGATTTCCCCACACCACTATCTAAATCAATGATATAACATTTTAAAATTTGTAAAATATTTTTAAATACTCTCGAAAAAAATGATTATGAATGAAAATTAAAATAAAAAGAACCGCAATATATACTTTTAGGATAGTGAATATTTTGTTTAAAAAAAACTGACAGTTTTACGTATTGATTATTACGGTTCTAAATCGAATCTGTCTGTATAGCAATAAAGCTTTAGTGATCTTTAGAAATTAACAAAAAATTATGCCTTCCAGAGTTTGCGAATACAAAAGAATGTTTAATGAATTATGCACTTCGCATATATTGTCATTTAGAAGAAATATTACATCTTAAGATTTATTCGTTAGAGAGGGTGGGGGAGAGAGATTTAGGAATTTGCCTAAAAATAGCCATTTTAACCTCTCTAAATCTCATATTTATTAAAAAAATATGAATTTATCTACTCCATTGCCCAAGTGGTTCGCGTAATCGAATTGAAAATGCTGAAGATTGTTATCTAGAAAAGGATAAGGACGGATTTACTCAAAATCCAGGGGTTTTCCACTGAAATCTCGAAATAAAGACAAATTTGTGCTATGCTGGCTTGATTTCAGTACTCGATTCAAGTTAATGAGGCCAGAGCAAATGTTCCGTAAATAAATGCGCGAAAGATGAGTTCGCTAACTCATGCTTGTCTATTAAATTAATTTAATGCGTATTACTTGAAGTTATCTTAACACGAATGCTCTAATTGTCCAATATTTTTTTCAAATTCTTTCTTGGCATCGGGCTGATTATAGGTTGCTGTAGTAACCACAATTGTCCGAGTGTTTACTGAGAAACCACAGCCCCCTCCTCCCTACAGACTTTTTTAGCATATAATTGCGTTGGTAACTACAAGGCCAGGAAATGGAATTAACTGGAGTCATAAGCCAGGCCATTTTCTATTTTTGTGCACGCCAAGAGAACTATTTATAAGTTAGTGCAAATGGAACTTGATTACATTTTCAACCGGTAATTACTTCAATGCAAATTCGCCCACAAATCTCCTTACTCTTGTTACTACGAAAACTCTCATTGCCTTTCATAGTAAAGTACGCATTAAATGATTAAAATATTCTTCAAATGCTTGATTATTCATGAATGTGACAAGTTATCAGCAGGATAGGAAGTGCAGATATCAGTCGCTTGAGTAGAGAGGTGATGATTGACCATTGCGGAAGTAAATGCCAAGATCCAAACAAAGATTCCAGGGAACTGATATGTAAAATCCAAGGCCACTTACTGTTGTGTGTGTGTGAGAATTTTCAAGTGAGTTAAAACTTTTCTTTAAACAATAGAGAGTAATAGGTTGAATAATTTGGTTTTGAAGTATGAATTTGCTACGGAATCGCTCTTCCCCACTCCATTATAACATTTTCAGTCATAAAAAATAGAATGTAGTTGAATTCAAGATTTCTTTAGGCACTCAGAGGTAATACAAATTGTCCAGGTTCTGAAAATTCCTTAATTGAATTTATTTCACTGCAATCAATAAAGTCGCTTCTTTCTGTTTAACCTCGTGATTTCCAGTCACGTGATGCTGCAAATAGTTTCCAAAATAATTGGGGAAAAATCTTTTTTTTTCAAAAATTAATCTGACATCAGTTTTTTATGTAATCAATTATAACTTGAATATAATATTTTTTAAATCAGGCAGGTTTTCAGTTAATTCAAGGGAATGGAATGTGCCATTTCTTTAAATTGTCAATTGGTGTCCATTTTTACCGTTTAATGACATCTGAAAATCGACTCATTTTCAAACAAATGTTGTGAGAACTCGTTGGGGCTTCAAGTAGTAAATGATTCAAAGTGCAAATAAAATAGTTATTAAAATTTCTCACATCTCAAGACTTCACAAAATCTCTCCACTTATCTATTGTGTCTATTTTTGTTGATTCTCACGATTTTCAAGCCTTGGTGCGATCGCGCAGTTTGTTATTCGCCTTGTTATGACTTTTTTAGTAAATAAAAAGAATTGACGAAACGGCTTATTTCTTTCATGGTTTAATGCAATTAGAAGCTATAATGCAAGTACTTTTTCAATGCTACTATCTAACTCATGGCTTTAACATTATTTTGGAAGTTTAAACGAAATTTACGCTCATACACCTTTGTTCAAATTATAAATACATGTTGAAAGGCATAAAAAGCTCATTGCTTGTATTATTAAGCAGTATTAAACCTCCAAGTTCAAAGAAATACTATTTTTACTAAAATTTTGAAATCATCTCCACTGCACGATAAGCCGTGTAGAAATCAAAATGGTGATAACGCTCTGAATGGAGTTACTTCAGAGGAACCCACTGACAAAGTTAATGGTCAACCTTAGGACAAGAAAAGATAAAGGTCTTCACCGAGTGAGAAGTGAGTGAGGGAAGTGTGTGTGTGAAGTGGGGGGGGGGGGGGGGGGGGGAGGACGTTGTGTGACTACAGTCAGGTTGTTCGTCGATGAGTAACCGATCGAAAATTGCTTATGTTAACGGTTATGTATGTGCTATTATATGCGCAAAGTATATAAATTAGCGGAGCAAACCAAGGAGCAGATTGCACAGTTAAAGCAGACTGTTTGGTTACAATATAACCCCCCCCAAATCAACGTGAATCAGAAAAAAATGCTAGAAAGCAATGAATTTTGTGATTTATTGGCTGCATGCATTCTTATAAAAGTCATTCACGCGACGAATATTAATACAGGCAAAGACAGCGCAACTGTTTATCATTACTCTTACGGCAAGACAACTTCTTATAACCATTTAAATAATGGAAGCAGTAAGGAGGACCAAATTAAAGGTTTTAGAATTTATCGACTAAAAATCTGATGAGCAACTTATTGCATTTGCCCAGAACTCACCGACAAGTTGAATATTTCCTACTGGGAAAGTTTGGAGCTTTTTTTTAAAATGACCATAAATATAATCATATTAATTAACTTCATTAGCCCCTAAAATATCCATGACCCCAGAACTCAATCAAACATGAATGTCTTAGAGGTAGACTTCGGTCAAAATTTGAACAAGATAACGACCCTAGAATTTGACACGGTTGAACGAATTCGCAAATGTTTGGAATAATTAATAATAAATTATTAATTTTAATTTTCTTCGATACGCGCAATTCATTTACATCTAATTATTCCCGACAAGTTACTTCTCTATAGGCTTTAGCAATTGATTCACCTGTGATCATTCTTCGTATTCTTCTAAAGCCTCCCGGGGTAATTATCGCGCCAATGATTCAGTCGGGTCTTTAACGCTTCGGGATTCAAGGACAAAGATGGAGGGAGAATGATCACATATGCTCAGTTAGATCTTCACTGGAACCACTGTCGGTAGAAGTGAACTGGGTGACCTTTCTCCTCATAACCACCTAGATAAGTCCAATTTGGCGAATATCCAGTGAAAGTTGTTAATGATGAAACCGACTGTAGCACACTTAGTGGGTGCGACCGCAGGCTACTTTGAACATGAATTCATCGAAATAAGAGACTGCTCTGAGCAATGTCTGAAATCACTTTCAACATTGCTCTTTTGCTGAGTGAAGTAGGTTTAGGAAGACCGATTTTTCAAGTTGCTTTGGTTTATCATTCACCAGTGCCTGTCGTTCAGGACAGTTAATGAGCATGAGCTTAGATCGAATGTGATTAAGCAGATCAAAAAATTCCTGATCGGTTTAAAAGCATTGTTGAACTTTTACCATATTTGTGCTTCCTACTCTCGAGAGCTAATTATGTTCGGAAAA